CCCCCCCCCCCTCCCCCCTCTAAAATCAATTCTCTCCTGGAGAACGACTTCGTGAGCCTCTCATGATTTCAGGATAGTTGAAACCCTCTTGAACATTTAGAAAGAGTGAATATGAAATTCTAATCACGAAAGGTGTTCCCCGAGGGGATACATACCTAGAGTTTGTTCTGTGAAGCACGTCAATTCTCTCCTGGGGAGCGTCTTCGTGAGCCTCTTATGGTTTCAGGATAGTTCAAATCCTATGATGTTCCGATTCAATGCTCACCGATGATCTGAGCCATGGGGCAAGTTTGTTTTCCTAAGAATCTTTTTGAACATTTCGAGAGCATATGTTTGAACATTTAGAGTGCATATGAACATATATTTACGAAAGGTCGCCTCCGAGGGGATAAATCACCATGTCGAACATTGCATTTTTGTTCCTGCCTCTCGCGTTCTCTTCTCTTCCCGCTGTCCTACCTTTCGTGTCTCCCTCCTCTCAAGTGGGAAAGGAGCCGGGAGACTCTGACGCATCCACAGGCTTGACGAGCAAAACCTGCAGCGGTGAGAAAGCAAGAGAAAACAGGACATCTTGCCAAGAGGAAATCTTTCAACCCCTCAACAAAATGGTGAACCAATACAAACAAAATGTCACTGCAGACAAAGAGCGAATTGGTGGCCTGGTCGGGCTCAGGCGCCCCTCGCACCGTCCGGTGCGCAGTCCCTTTGAGTGGGAGCGTCGCGTCGACCACGCCCAAGAAGCAAAGGAATGCTCCGGGCATTTCCCGGTTCTTGTGCAGGTCAGTCAGGTCCAGGTTGACCATGACAGGTCGCAGCTCGACTTTGTTGGCCAGGAGCTTGTCTTCGAGTTTCCTGCCAGGGGGAGTGCTGCCACGCACAGAGAGCCTTTGAGTGGCATTAACAACTCACCCAATGATACCAACCTCTGTTTAACTACTCGGTCCTGATGTCTTGCCTCAAACTCCCACCGCTCTCGCTTCCCACCAGGGGAGGAGGGATCAGAACCAGGACACTCCCTGAGCTCTAGCCCATGAAACAAGAGTCATTTGGTATGCGTTGACACACTCGCAACTTGCCAAGACCATCCAAGACCCGGGCTTGTTGGATTCTTCCCCAAAACCTTTTCGGTAAAGTCCCCAGCCATGTTGATCTCCGATTGAGTCAACACGCCAAGCTTGGTGCAATCAAAGAACAGGATGACGTCGACGTCACGCGGATCCACCTTCCAGCAACCGCCACGAAAACCTTAAAGGCCTTAAAGTTGCTAAGAAAACCAAAACCTTGTCAGAACCTTGGGGTCTTGGGGTCCCATGGAATCAGCCGGCCTGGTGGTCTGAAGCTGCCTGGCGGATGATCGCGTCTAGGCAAGCTTCAGGGCCATCTTTCCGGGTTGCCATTGCAATGCGAGACCGCTTTTCCATGTAAGTCTCACACAGCCTGAGGTGAGGAACTTGTTTGGCCAACGTGTCTATTATTTGTAAGGAACACTTGGCAACAACCAAATAAGAAAAAACGGACCAAAAAACAAGCGGAGTAACTCTTTTCCGATATCCAGCTGCGCCTTTTCGTGCATCACCGAGATCACATGCTTGCGGCGCTTCAGCTCCGCCTCTTTGGCATTGAGCTGGGACATCGTGAGGACATCCTGTGAAAGCTTGGCTCTGATCTCTCTGAAGCGCGCAGCATGGGCTTGTTCTTCGATGTCTGCCAGGTCCGCTGGTGTGGAAAGCTTGGCAGGACTGGCTGGCGCTTCAACAAGGTCGCACCAAATGGAAAGGTGTTGAGGCTTCCAAGTGCTCAATCTTGCCGTCACATCTGCGAAGTAGTCCCTTACTCATGGGAGGCGCAGAACAAAGGTTGAACAAACACATCCCGGGACTGTGACCCACCCCTGAGAACGCCTGAGAAACAAAAAATTCAAAAGTTTGAATGGCCAAGTCAAAGAACTTCTGGAAGAAGGCCTTTTCCATTGCTGCATCTTTCTCAGGATTCCAGCTGGTCATGGTGCGAGCCTCATCCCAAATGGCGGCGTACACGCATGCGAAGTCCGCCAAGCCTTCAAACTTCTCCGGCGACAGGCGCGCTCTTGCGCGGGCCGATGGACGCAAGCACCGAGTAGCGTCGCCAAAGGTTTTGACCACCAACTGGAAATGCAGCGTTTGCGAGCGCTCCGTCACAGTGAGGCACCGGCGCAACTCGGCAGGGCACTGTCCTGATTTCGGGCATGCCCCGACCAGCCATCGAAGACTTTTAAACTGGTCGGTGTTAAAAGCTGATTGCTGCCACTTGTGTCGGTCGAGATGGTTGCGAATAACCGCTCGGGATTCCTGGTATGCCAAAAGGTCCAGACAATAGCCATGCGACGACAACCCGGACAAGCATTCAGAAACAAATTTAAAACATTTTTTCATGTCATTTTGAGGTGCTTCACAGGTCCCACTCACCAGGTTGAAGATCGCTTTGTATCGGTCGTCCTCAATTCTATGTTTTGCACCCAACCCCGGGGTGGCGTTGAACTCAGCGACAACCTCAGACAGACGCTGGTCCGTAGTCCAGTCCGGCAAGTGGCGTTCCTCCTCAGCCCGAACTTCCATGACACGGGCAAACCTCAAAGACAGCTGCAAGCTGTTCGGAGCTTGCCGCTCCGAGCCGCGAAATGATAGCTGGATGTTGCGGAAGGATCTGAGGGCCTCGTCCATGTTGAACGTAAACTTAGATCGGCCCGGCCGGGTGAAGGATTGAAAAGTTCAGTCCCATCCCTCACCATTCAAAACAACTGCTACATTGTCCCTCAACTTGTGGAAAGAAGTTTTTGAAGTTTACTCCCAGGCGCGTGGACCGGCACTGTCCAGCACTTGTCCAAAACAGGGAACAAGGGTCTCAACTTCTCAATTGCAGCTGGATCTGTGAGGTCCAACTCGCTTGCAGCAATCAAAATGACCAACACCGCAGAGGCCCTTGTCCAGCCCTTGACCAAATCCACGCTGTGAGGCCCGCATTCCCACGAATCTGCAGGGCTGAAGTGTCTGGTTACGAGGCTTTTTGAACATTTTTCCATGAACAACTATAGAGTTGGCTAAAATGGGAATGGATTGGTGTTCATAAAGCTGCACCTATTGAACAAGCCATAGTCCCGTCCAGTTGCTCACGAGCAAGGTCCACCCCTCCCAGGAGCATGCTTTCAAAGGTCGTGAGCCAGTCCTCGCAAACAGGAAGCCCATCTGCTGGAGCCTCAAACCTGAACAACAGCGGCGGGGGGTTTTCCGTCCTACACTTTCTATGTTCGCAAGCTGGCCACTATAAATATACAAAAATATAAAATATGCATATACTTCCGATATCCCAGTGCCTACAGTTGGAAACTATAATCGAAAATGTTGGCGCGCAGAACAGACAAAGGCACTTGAGGCAGGTGATGGGAACCTTTATGGTCTCCCCTTGCATGCTGGGATCCATAGCCTCAGCAATGGAAGCAATATGAAGGAAGTCTTTCATCCCTTCACTTAAAAGTAGGCCAGGCCGAAAAATACCCTGACTACTAGACATGGTTTTTGTTAGAAGATGTTTGAAGTGTAGCTGAGAAACAATGCCGCTCTTCTTGAAGAGATATGGCATCTTGCGAACAGTGTGTGCGTATTCATGGTACCAGTTTTCCAGCTGCTGACAATGCAGCAAGTTGGACTCATGGTTCGTGCTTTCAAACAGCTCGCACACTAGAGATGCTGGGTGTTGGCCTGACAGGTTTTCATCCTCGGACCTGAAGGTAGCACAGTAGTCCAAGAGCTCCTGCGTGGTTCAAGAAACACGTTCTATAAGATGGGGAAAGAGGCCACAATCTATTGGTTAAATCTGTCCCACTAGACGATTTGTTTGCATTTTGTTGAAACATACCATTAGTATTAGGCTCCTTCACTGTGTCAAGATCCCCAGCAGGCATCTTACTGAGCTGCTTCTCGTATACAATGCAAGCCCTCTTCGGCGCAGGTTCTCCCGCATCCTTGCCATCCTTGATGGCCAAGAAGAGCTTGGCACGTTCCTCGGCCTTTGTTTTAAAAGGCAGAGACATGGCACCTATCGTTGGGCCAGCTGTCAAAATCCTTCGGGATCACCGCAACCTTCACCAAGTGCATCGACTTTGTTTTCAACTTCCGAAGTTAAGATCAATGCACTGACCCAGAACCAGTGCATCGACTCCTTTTTGAAAAAAAGCGAGGTTCAATTTCATATTTTTTCACCCAAGAGATTTCAATCCACGCTTTTTTTACATAAAGGATCAATGCACGCGTCCACAACGAGTCCATTGATCTATAGGATGACTTTTGGGAGAGGAGTCAATGCACTCACTCAATTTCAATCTCCAAAGTCAATGCACTCGTTGAGAACCAGTGCATCGACTTTGTGTGTCCGATCACCCCCGGTGCATCGACTTCCCGCGTCCGACCGCCCCCGGTGCATCGACTTCCCACGTCCGACCGCCCCCGGTGCATCGATTTTTCACGTCCGACCACGCCGGGCGCATCGATCTTTCAGGTCCGACCATCCCCCTTCTTGCGATTTGACCTTGTGGGTAATCAACAGTTTGTGTGTGGGATTTGTCTGCCAGCCCTAGGTTTGCCAGAGGGGTCTGCCTGAAAAAGGCCATACGCCAAGCAACCAGGGGTTCCTCAACCAGGAGAATTCCAAAAGGCTTTGCCCCAACCAATGCCCGAAACCTTGCCCATGTGTTGTGTCAAGAAAGATTTCGGGCATTGCTTGCCGCAAATCCTTTTTGGATGTCAAAACTGGCGCTTGGGGACTTGTGTCCAATTTTCGTCTCAAGCTGGCGTCATAGCCGGCGGTCGCCTCCGAAAACTGCGCGAAGGGGCACAGTTGGTGCAAGTGCGTTGAGCACTGCTTGGTGAAGAATGTACCTAGGGGCTCCCACGCCAACTGGCTCGCAGCCCTGGCTATGAAACGGCAGTGGCTCCAATTCAGCATTTTGCCAAAATGCATTATTTGCTAAAGCGTGCAAGTAGTCTGTAGCTCGCTGATAGCGGTGGCCATAGTAGAACTGAACATCTTCTGCCAGTTTCTTGAGAAGCCCAGCTGCTTGAATGGAATGGTTGTTGGGCCACCTGAGATCAAACCAACATTGCTTTTTGACACCCGGTAGTAAGTGACTGGTTTTCCACAATAAGATCCAAAAGACAGGTTAGTAGAAAGGTTGGAGCCGTTTTCTGAATTTCAACAAGGGGCTTCTCATCAGGAACCAAAGTAAGCCTATGGGCCCGATTTGTTGTGAGCACCAACATAGGAGGTTGAGACAACCCTTCATCCGATATGTGCTTCTTGATGAACGAGATGACGTCATGTGGGGATTGTGCACCTCGATAGCTTCCTTCATTGATCTGCTCCGCAATGGCTTCGGGGACATCTGCAAGGCTTGAGAGTTGGTGACCCCAGGGACCGGGAAGGAAACACCAGGGTGCTAAAGGCATTGAACACTGTGTTCAAAGGGCCTGGCCTCTTCTTTGCATACACGTGAAAAGGTGGTTTCCAGTGTCGTCCTTCAACAAGCCACCTTCCAACCGGACACCAGTCTTTGGCATTTGGGTCCTCCAAGCCCGCGTTGCGTCCAGCTTCTGGACTGATACCCGGGTGCTACCTCCAATCCATTCCTTGATGGTCGGCTTTTCCAACTCGGATCGCACTGCATTGATGCAGTCGTCAGGATCTAAGATCCCTGATTCGTTTGCCACCCGACGAGATATGATTCCCCACAGCTGGTCTTAGCTGCATCAGGGTGGCAGAACTCATTCAAACAAAACAAAGAACAACAAAAAATATACTCAACCAACCATGAGAGGGACCTATTCTGCAGTGGGAATGGCTCTTCCTCAAGTGGCAAAGGCAGGAAGCCCGAAAGCGATGCGTCCCCACCAGCAAATGTAAGTATGATAACACCTGCTGGTTCTTGCACTCCCTCACCGTGTTGTCCACCTTGGTGTGGGTTGATGGTTCTTCTTTACAAAAACGGTATTCACTAAACACCGAAGAACACAAAAGGGTATCAGCCAAGGAACGTTGAGTATCACTGTGGTGGGAACTTGGCGGTTCTGAAGTTTGCAAAGTGATATCACCTGGACCAGTGATTGATATTGCATAAACAACACGGGTGTTCAGTGTATAGTTCTGCCCGCCCCTATTGAAAGAACATCCAAGTAGTAACAATTTGTTGATCATGGCAGGTGGCATCTTCAATTGTTCGGGATACCATCTCTAGTATGGCGCTGCTGTCATGTCTCCCCAATTCATCAATGAAGTAGACATTGAGCACCCATCCATAAGCCCAGACTCCGTGACATTTCATCCGAGGTCTTTGATGCTTTGCCCTTGGGAAGTCTTGAGGAGGCCAGAGACTTGGAGAACCGAGCTTTGGAAGGGGGTAGATGAAACAAAACAAAAGGCTTTACCCAGGTATAGGGGCAATCTAGAGTTGGCCCGGAGTTCTGGATGGCGGGGGAGGCGGAACTTGCTTTGGTCAAGGCCATCTGTGCGAAGCAAGAGCACGCCGCTATTTGGGTCGGCAGCTTCCTGCTGCAATGTCCATATGACAGTTCTATCACAATATTGGGAGTGTAAATGGGATCTGTACCCTTGCAGCGATCCTAACTTCTGTTCAAACGTCAGGCCCCGGTCGGACAGCTGCTGCTTGTAGGAAAAGCAAACTTCACATGTGGTGAACTGACTCTGCTGTCTAAAGCCAAGGATGTCTTGCCAGCGTTCCTTGTATACATGGTTGAAGGTGCCATACCTGAGACTCAAAACATTTCACCAATTCTTTCGCCTACAAACGACAGAAGGGTAGATGGGGTTGACCGCAGTTCTTTACACTGAACCGTTTTCACCCACAAAGGACCTGAACCCATGGCGGGGGTGAGAGTAAAGGCATTTGACAGCATTTACCGAAAAGGTATTTAAAAGTGAAACAGCCCAGGGGCGAAACGCTATTAGCTCCCACCATAGCTTGTGTTGCTTTGTAGTGCTCATGCAAATCCATCACAGTGCCAGGGGCTAGGTACTTGCGGACAATCACTTGGTTCGGAAGGAAAGGGCTTTTAGCTGCTTGTTTTGAGAGCCATTCCCGAAGCCCATCCACATTCTCCAAATCAGATACCACCTCTTCCCCACTAGACCCTTCTGAATCCAAGTCCTTCTTCTTGGGCAGTTTGGCTGCTCTTCCTCTCCGAATTAACCTGTCTTATTCGGCCGATGCAGACATAACAAAAACGCGGTGAGTCAAGAACCTAAGCAGGTATTACCAGCTTCAACACAAGTATGTTTAGTGGAAGAAGATTGGACACACAGGCCTGTCAGGCAAGGTCTCAGCTACAGAGTCGTACAAGATCCTCAGGAAACCATCCACACTAAAGGTCCCTGCTTTGCTGGTGTACCCACCACGCTTCCCGTATCTCAGATCTGGCGTTGTCGCGACTGCCTTGCGAAGACGGGAATGTCCGACCCCAAGGATGGATGCCAAGCACTTTGCACCCACAGTCTTGTCCAGGAATTTGAACTGCTTGAACCCTTTCTCTTCGGACCCCACTGCAATCTGTACCTTGATTCATGTTTGGAATGGTTGGAAGACCGGAATAGGTTATTTTAGAAGCAATCCGTTTGCTTTGTGTCAAATAACTTGCACTGAGTATCCACAGAGTCTTGATCTTGCTTTGCCATGTCCCAAACGAATTGAGAAACCCTGAGAGCTCCTTTGAAGAGGCAAACTGCTTTGAAGCAAGTCTTCTGAGCACCTCAGGCGCGGCGGAGATTTAGGAGAAGGATTGGAACATATTGGAACGCAGATGAAAGTGGGAAAGCCTGCCCATGGAACCATAACTTTGCTAGACACAAACAAGGAACAGTGACAAGATGCCAACGCCACCAACCCTTCTATTCTTGCAGGGTCCTTTCCGTTCTTGCTGTAAGCGCCAGCCGATTGTTGACGGCTGTAACTCGCAGCTGCAGCTCGTACACTGTTGTCATAGGTCCGTTTTGGTTTGGTGTCTGGCTCGTCTAAGTTCCTATTCCAGAAGGTGCCCTTCTTGAAGTCCATCAAAGAATGCCATCCCAGAGAGAAAACTGTTTTTGAGGTACCCTTGTAGTTTTCCCCGTTCAGATCTTCACCACTACTTGACTCTGACACAGGCCCAGGCTGCTTGCTCATCGCCTTCATCTTGGAAGAGGCTGGGAGTGGCCTTTGGTCTGCTCTTGGGCCTTTCATCTTGAAAAGCATGATCCGATTCGTCTGGTTCATCTTGAAAAACGGAACCACTAGGCGGCTTTCTCTTCTGTGTCTGGCTGGGTCTCGAAGCAAGAACGTGTGATGGAGGGTCTGCTTCAGAAGGTTCTGCCCCCAAACGCAGCTGTAGGAGTAGAAGACGCTTTCTTTTTTGAAGCATGGCGTGCGCTCCAATAGGGCAAAGGTTTTGGGGTGGGTTCGTCCGTTTCCGCTCCAAAAGGAGGCATGATCTGAAACCCTGCAGTTGCATAAAACACAGAGTTTGTTTGTCACACCACTTGATTGACCCGCCTACTTGAACATCAGTGGGATTTAGGCTCTTTTCAACCCCCCAGCGGCTGGCCAGTCCAAGCCCGCGGCATCACTTGTCCTCCACATTGAGCACTGTCATCAGTATGATGAACCCAGCACAGGCCAAGTTCATTCCGTTTCCGGCCATAGACCTGATCGCGTTCTCTGAGAGCCCCATCTCATCGATGCGAACAGGGTCCTGTAGCAAAAAAGCAGGTCTGAGCCTTATGGTATAACGGCCAATGAAAAAGAAAAGAGAGCAATAGATAGAGAGGGAACAAGGAGATACAAACATGAGCTAAGACTCCACATGGCCAGTACTGGCTTGAGTGGGCCAGCAAGGATAGCCAAGCGCAGATAGCTGCTCCTTTCCCAAAAGCAAGCGCTTGCGATCCTCACTCCTTGCGGGATTAACAGGTAGATGACAAATGGAACCCTTTCACTAAAGCACAGAAGTATACCATATAGATGTAAAATTCATACATTTTCCCAATCCT